AGGAAGGAGCCAGGCTCTGCTCTGTGATGTTTAATGTATTTCATTTTCAGGCTTTTCCATTGCTATTAACTCCCAGTCTTTTGGGAGAGGCTACCGATTCACACTTACCCTAGTATTGTCAGGAAACGAGAGAGAGAAAAATCAGACCCAAAAGAACAGCTTTTCTATTTGCTTTTTACATTTGGAATATGTGTCAGCTTTATCTCCCTTCACAAAAAAAAAATAAAAAAAAAAATCTTCTCAGTTCAACTGAAGATGACAAAATTAAAGCCATAGGAAAGTAGCTGACATCCAAAACACAGTCCAAAGCTTTTTTTTACTGCCCTCCCTTGGTGAATTCAACTGTCATAACCTCACTGAAATAATCTAGACTAGGCTACTTTCTTGCAGTTGTTTCAGTGTAAAAGTGATTTGTACAAATTCAGAAGAGCAGCTCAGCATAATCTCTCTTAAAGTGTCTTTACTATTTTAAAAACTCAAATGTGAAATACCCAAATCACTATTAGACACCTGTTGTACTATGTAACATGGATACATCATTACTGCACATTTTAACCTCACTATATACAACATTTCATCAAGTATTCATATCTCATTTATCGATGTTGCTGAAGTGTTTCACATACAAATCAGCACGGCTGCCCAATATACTTTTACTTACTGGATTAGTTGCAACTAACTCCTGATTGTTGGCAACTGCAGTCAATGAAATTATTGTTACCACAGAGTTGCAAACAAAAGAGAAAAATAGATTTTTATGCAGGGTAATCCTTTGGCAACTCAAGCTCCTAGAAAAGAGAAACAAGATCAAATGAACACACAGGGGACAACTATGTGTACTTGGGGACAACTCTGAAATCTTGAAATACTAGAGTTCTTTATTTTATTACAAAGTCTTACATCAACCCTTCCTTCAGCTTCAGTCCCAATTTAATGGAATGATGTGAAAGTTAACACCTTCCAGTAACCTCCAATTTTTGGACAACAGGAGGCAAAGCAAGTACGTTCAGTTCCAGTATATTTACAGTGAAAGACCTGCTTTCTAGTGGCTATCTAAACATTATTTGAATAGCAATAATATAACATCTTTCAGAAGATTTAAACCTTTTTTTTTTAAATTTCCCAATTAACTCATACTTGAGCTTGAAGAAGCTGTCTTACTGTACGTTTCCATTTACCAAAACCTGTTAAGATTTTTCGAGGGTAATTCTCTTTTGCTCACATCCTTGTCATTTTCCTTCCTTATTTCTATAGCTAGAGAAATACCCAAATAAGTAAAATAATGCAATTCTTACCTTGACTTTTGTATATAACTAAGTATATAGAATATAATTATAAAATGCAATATATAACTACATTTAATTGTGTTAGTCTTCAAGGTTTGCTTTTAATCTGGCAAGAAAATTGAAGAGAAAAATGTCTTTTGAAGGGTTTTTTTTTTATCAGAGCTTCAATAATATTAAATAATACTCAAGGTTGAACATAGTCACAGCTAATTTCCATTTATCTGCTGTAGCAGATGAAAGCATGTCTAACCTAGTTACATTTCAACAGGTAGAAGTGCTTCTCATTCAAGTTTTTCCGAAGAAATTCAACTTTACAGACAAACACAAAAGAAGACAGAAAGCCTACATGGATATATAATCAGATCATTGGGATATCAGGCTTAATGCCTGATTTAAAAAAAAAAACAACAAATAACATCTATTTTGTTATGAAAGCAGATGATCAGTTGACAAAGCTGGGTCAAAAAGATCCTTTTAGATGTAAGATGGGGGTGTGCAGCAAACTGACTCGCTCAGAGTCATCCCGTATGTCAGGGCTGGCAGTCAGGAACACAGCCCAGTCCGGCATGGTGAGCCTTGCTCAGAGAAACATCTCCCACACGCCAAGAGAAGACTCAAGACTGTGGCACTGTGGTTCACTCTCGGGAAACGCTCTTGGATTACTTTGGAGAAAACATCTACCGAAGCCTGTGTTTTTGCCCTACACATAAAGATTTATTATAATAGGTAATTTTTATGTTCTTTAAATATGTTTTTTGGGTTTTTTCTATATATGGTTTATATATGAAAAGAAAGGCAACAATAGATTCCAGCTAGGGGTTTTGTGTAAACAGCTCTTGAAGGACTCTGGAATTCTGTCTGCTCATTGTTAAGATTCAATGCACAGGCAAGGAAGAGCACGTACAGCTACTGGGGCCATCTGTCGGGGTCATCCAGCAGCTGTTCCTGTTGAATATTCAAACACACCCATCCACACCCACCTCCACCCATGCATAAAAGGATTGAAAGGATCACCGGACAAGACACAAGCAAACAAGACTGATAACATTTAAAAATGAAGACTGCTTTTGGTAATAAAAGGATTTTTAGCTAAGCCTCCCCACCCTCCCTCTTCTGTTATACTTCCTATATTCCTTTTTCTGACTGTTTTTCTTCATGACATAATAGCCTTTAATTACTTAATTATCATAATGATGATCTAAGAATATTTGAATTATCAAGCCATGTGCATTAAAACAAAGGCAGACCTCCTGCTAAATTACCTATTTCCATTCTTATTTTGACTCCTGAATGTCCTGGATATTAGGGAAAAATTAATTTCTCCAGTATTTCCTCGAAAGAAAAAAGCATTTTCAAATGTCCACAGATGCGTTTAGGATCTAATTTTTTGAGGTATTCAAATACTGCAAAATTTAACCAGTGAGATCCACATAGGCACCTAAGGGGAATTGTCCATCCAGCTGAAATGAAGTGACTTAGGAACCTCATATCTCTCTGTCAATCTATCTATCAGCCAGTTGTTTGCCCACTCTTTAGGTACAGTGTTTCTATCCTCTGTGTGTGCTCTCAAGCGATTTGTCACGACACTTAATCAGCAACTTCTTTACTTCAGGTGATGGGTGTTTTTGTTGTTTTATCTTTTGTTTGGGGTTGGGGGGCTGCTTCTTTCAAATTATAGCTCCCCTACCTCTGAATTCACTGTTAAGCTTTCTCTTGCCTTGTTTTTCTTTATGAAAACCATACTATTTTAACAGAAGATTTATAATAAACACGTTTGATTCTGAGTATGTAACAGAATGAGAGAAAACAGAGCCACTGCAAGAAGTTACTTTTATGTATCACAGATGAATTTTGAAAGAGGAAGACTGGAGTTCCAGTTTATAGCCCATGTTATGCTATTAAACCAAGAACTACAATTCACTTGGGGAATCCAAGTCACAAACTGAGCAAGTATTTTCAATGAGACAATTTTCTGAAGAAAGAAAAGAATTTCAAATGAAAAAATAAACACACAAACACATTTTAATCTTGAAAAGTTGAAGGTGTTTGAAAAAAACCTGTCATTTCTCCTATGGAGAAAAGTACCACATTTCTTGTCAAACCTAAAGATATCCTAACGGTTAGCAATCCAGCAAATGTCATCTGAAAAGTACCAACTGAATAACTGTATCGGGTTTTCTGTGAGGAGTTTTTGGGTTTTGTGATAGTGGGGGAGGGCTATCGATATAGCCTTGTAAGAAGCTGCTAGAAGCTCCCCTAGTTCCAAATTTGGCCCCATCTCTGAACAGGGCCAAGCCAGTCAGCACTCTGCAAATGGATGTATTTAAGAGGGGCACAGCACATGGCCCACCCTATCTCTTGGCCTGGCCCTGACCAGCATGGCCCCAGTGTGAGTGGCACGGCCCTGGTGTGAGTGGTGTGGCCCCAGCCACTCTGAGCCCCCAGATCAAACCCTGCTCCAGCCTGAGAGAGAGAGCCAGGAACTCTTCAGGAACCAGCAGAAGAGACCTGCAGTGGAGAAAGGAGTGGGATGTGAGAAGATCAACTGTTCACACACCAGTGTCGGTGAAGAAAAGAGGAGAGGCGGGAGGAGGAGGTGCACAGAGCCAAAGTTCCCCCTGCAACCTGCGGTGAGAGCACAGGTCAACCCACCTGCAACCTGTGGACATGCAGCAGTGGAGCAGAGATCCAATGAAAAGGTGGCTGCCTCTGAAGAGGCTGTGACTCTGTGGGCAGTGTGTGCTGGAGCAGTCTGTGGGAAGGACTGCACCATGCAGAAGAGAAGCCCATATCAGAGCAGTTTGTGAGGAAAAAAACCTGCAGCCATGGGCAGACCCACACTGGAGTTTTGTGGAGGACTCTTCTCCTGTGGGACGGGTACCACATGGAAGTAGAGAAAGAGTGGGAGGAGTCCTCCCTACCCCTGAAGAGGAAGGAGCGGCAGAGACCACGAGGGATGAACTGACTGCAACCCCCATTGCCATCCCCCTGCGCCGCTGGGCGGGCAGGAGGTAAAGAAACCAGGAACAAAGACGAGCCCGGGAGGAAGGGAGGGGTGGGCGAACACGTTTGACTTTAAGATCTGGTTGTAGCTCTCACTATTCTATCTTGATGCTACTGGTAACAAATTAAATTGTTTTTTTTTTTCTCTTCCCAAGACGAGTCTTTCTTTTGCCCATGACCATAAGTGGTGAGCAAAACCCTCCTGGTCCTTTTTTTCATCTTGGCCCACAAAATGGCACTGTGGTGCTCAGTTGCACACTGGGCTTAAACCATGACAGTAACCAAATACATTCTTTTGAAATATGGCAAATTCAAAGGCACCCACACACAATAGCAAAAAATACAAAAAAGTCTACCTGTTAAATTTATGAATAATTATACAAGCTTCAGCCAATACATAACACATCCTGATATTAATCTAGATCCTTAAATACCCTTTTGGAACTAAAAATACTTCAAAGGAACTGAAACTATCCCAAGAGAACAGCTTGTAGAGGACTTTCTTAAATTTTGTAATTTCCTTTTATATCCCAACATAACCACAGCCTAGAAATTGTGGTTTGTGGGTCTGGATTAGTTCCATCTGGTTCTCTGAGAAGAGATGATCCTTCTGCCAGAGGGAGGAAAAAAATTCCTGGAGGGTTCAACAAACATGACATGGTTACAATGGCAGCAAAGCAGATCAATGGCTTGTGCAGTAAGTGCCACAAGTCAATATGAAATTGGCTTGGATTTAATATTATAGTACATAATAATAATGATTTATTGTCTCTGAAGTTTTAAAATTATATCATACTCCAAATCTTTTTGCTTTCTACTGAGAAGTCTATGTCAAATAATTTTTCCTGTCACATTAGGTTTTTAGTGCTGTTTATAGCAACAGTACAGCCCTTTTTTATGCAAAATCAAACTCCTTATAAGGACTCAGATCCATTTCACATGTTGATTTTCTGAAGTGAAAGTAAATTTGGAAATGGTAAGCATTGTTTTTACAGCTCATATGCAAATACATTGATTAAAAACCAAAAAAGTTTTTGTTTGTCCTCATGAAAAGAAGTCAGAAAAAAGCTGAAAAGTCATCTTGAATACTGGATCTCATAGAGAGAGACTACAAAGTTGAAACATTCTGGTTTATTTGGGATTTGTGGAAATGTTATCCCAGAACTGGGGGAAATAATGCATATTTAAATTGGAAGCACTATATTCAGCCAGATGTGACTAAAAGGATTTTTTATCTCATATCTGTTACCTCTACCTAATCGAAGTCCGGAGCATGAGAAAAGCAAAATCTGAGCTAGCCCTACGGTTGCTGCTGTATGGGCTATTCGTATTTAAATCCTAGACTCATAGAATGTATTGGGTTGGAAGGGACCTTTAAAGCTCATCCAGTCCAACCCCTGCAGTGAGCAGGGACATTGGTACCAGATCAGGTTGCTCAGAGCCCCATCAAGCCTGATCTTGAATATCCCCAGGGATGGGGCCTGCACCACCTCTCTGGGCAACTGTTCCACTGATCTATCACCATCATGCTGAAGAACTTTTTCCTAATATCCAACCTAATTCTAGGTTTCACATTTCCTATTTTCAATATATTCTACAGTTTTGGTTTACAGATTTTGGATTTTATGTTTCTGAGGAAAGAAACCTAAAATTTTATTACAATATAATGTTGAATGGCAAACTAATATACTGACTTTCTTCACTTTCTTACTCAATCTAATTCCATCGGGGTTGCTGGTGTTTCAAAGTGTTGAAACTAGTATTGTTGCAACCACTGATATTTGTTAAAGCACTTTATGTATACTTACTTAAAATAAAAGAATATGCCAAGAGAAATCAGAAGTGATGCAATTGAAAGACCATGTCCGATGATGGCCAAGTAATACAAATTCAGAGCAGTCTGCAATACAAGAACAAAACCAAGCACCTGTGATGCACACAGAACTATTGTTGGTAAAGCACATATTTATATATCTCTTCTGCATGTAAAATTACTAGAATAGGGAAAATAAAAACACTACATATAATAGGTGCAAAATCCTGCAGCATCTTACTAGAAATCTCTTTCTGTAGGACACACAACAGATTCATTGAAATCATCACTAGGACTTACCTCTTACAGTTAAAACCTCAGGTTTCCAATATATACTGTTCTGTCTTTTCTGAGGATTTACATAGATCTGGTTATTTCATTCCTGTCTGAGGCTTTATTCATCTATTAACACAGTAAAACCTTTGCTTCCTATATGAATGCATGTATTTTACTTTTCTCATACAAGATTTTTTCTTATAATATAAAGAAACTTCCTTCAAAGCAAACTGCGATTATGATATTGGAAATCCAGCTTTTGTTCAGGATTTAAGGGAAAGCATGGAAAAAATTAACAATTACTCAAAAATAGTGAAGACTAAACAGTCTTGTTAAATAAGCCTACAGCCGAATTACAGAATTACGAAAAGCTGGGTAGATACAAAAGTTAAAAATAAGGAACTAGTAAATTAATATTTGGAATGTATACAACATTTAATTATTTGAATTAATAAATATATTAAATCCCATTAGTAACAAACCCCTGCTTTCAGTCATGGAATCTGCCTCACAAAATTTCTCTTGCTGCATTAAATGTAAGATTATCATTTTGCACATAAGGAAATGAAGATTTACAGGTTGAACCTTATACTATCACAATAAAGCATAACTATCTGGATTCTAGAGGAAGAATTAGAGCATCCATACAAATGCTCATATACTCCTAACTGTATGTATCCTCTGAAGTTATTATTCCAATTTAAGATAGACTAACTGCAGTTTGCTACATATATAGACTTTTCAAATACAAAAAGATTCCAGATAAAGCTTTAAGATGGTTATGAGACAAAGGTACCTCTTTGTACGTGCTAGAATTTTTCAAATTATCATGATTTTAAAAAATTATGTAACTTTTTTTACTTTTTCAAAAAGTGCAGTAGGTTTAAGTGAAACTTACATAAAAACCTGGAAGTGAGAAAAAACAAGGCTTACCCCTGATACACTAAACACTGGCTGTGTACACATACCCACAGCCTTCCTGTTGACAGATCCATGTCCCACACCACCACCTCATTCAGTGACCAGTTTAGGCAGAGGAACATGTTAAGTACTTAGAAGATTTCCACACAATTTAGAACTGGCACAAAACTGGTACAGCAGAGACTGCTAATGAGGGCAATAACAATATGAATGGAACAATGGACAACAGTCACATTTAGTGTGATTATCTAACCCACCTTCTGAGCAAAGCGAAAAGATAATGTTGTTTTATATAACAACACAGAGAATTGTAGCAAGTAGTAAGGCTTTCTTTAGAGCTATTATTCCATTTAAACAATAGCTTCAGATTAAGATGGTGATAAAGCTGAATTATGCTGGCGATACAGCCTGAGAGGAACGAGCTATTACTCATAAAGAAGGACCTGCATGGATCTGCTCCTGTCTGAATAATATTCTTTCCATTTCCAGCCAAATATTAGCAAGAAACCATGAACTATAGCATCTCTGCTAGTAGAATTGAACTGTCTTTAATGTATTCAGTGTCTGTCATGATTTGAAAAAAAGAAATACACAAGTGCCTTATTATCACCTTTTCTGAGTATGGTTTCCAGGTAAATACCTTGTAGCACTGTCAGCCATGATGCAAGGCAGTTAGGATCTCTACTAGATGTCAGCATCCTTGACACAGTCAGCTATTATTGAGCTCTTTTCCATGAGGTACAAATTAATTTACAGTCTATCCTGACCTGCATTTTATATTCCTATTTCTTGAAGCATTTACAGTTTCAGTTTACTGCTTTTTCCCATGACTGAATGTTTCAAAAAAACATAAAGAATACTAGTAGACATATGGTGTGGTGGGTTGGGGACTCCAGAGCTGGACGCAGTGCTCCAGGTGAGGTCTGACCAGAGCAGAGCAGAGGGGCAGAATCACCTCCCTGGCCCTGCTGGCCACACTTCTTGTGATGCAGCCCAGGATGTGGTTGGCCTCTGGGCTGCAGATGCACATTGGTGGCTCATGTCCAGCTTCTCATCCACCACTACCCCAAGTCCTTTTCCTCAGGGCTGTTTTCCAGCACATCATCTCCCAGCCTGTATTGGTAATGAGGATTGTTCTGACCCAGGTGCAGGACCCTGCACTTGGCTTAGTTGAACCTCATGAGGTTCACCTGGGCCCACTTCTCCAGCTTGTCCAGGTCTCTCTGGTTGCCATCCCTTCCCTCTGGCACATCAACCTCACCACTCAGGTTGGTATCAGCATTGAACTTGCTGAGGATGCACTCAATCCCGCTGTCAGTATCGTTAATGAAGATATTAAACAGCACTGGTCCCAGTACAGACCCTTCAAGGACAACACTTGTCACTGTCTTCCATCTGGACATGGAGCTGTTTTCCACTACTCTCTGGTTGCAACCATCCAGCCAATTCCTTATCCGCTGAGCAGTCCACCCATCAAATCCATACCTCTCCAACTTAGAGAGAAGGGTGTTGTTGGGGACCCTTGTTGTTCCACCCTTTTAAAAAATGGTTTTGAAACCACTCTCACAAAGCATTTTGCTGCCTGTCCTGAGATAATTTTGGATGCTTGCAAAATTTCACTTAAATAAACTCTAAAGTATAGGTTTTCCATTTGTGTGAACATCTCATCTCAGAAACTGAAAAAAAAAATGGCACTTGGGAGCCAGGACACAAGACGTACACAGGAAAAGGATTACAAGGAAAATCAAACCCTATCTTTTTGTAAAAAAGAAAATATTAGCTCTGCTTTTCATGGGGGGGGGAGGGAATCCCAAACATCTAAAGTCTACTTAAAGCTGTCTTGAAAATGTTAATCAAGCCCAAGTGAAACTTTGGTTGTGCACCTGCTGAAAATCTCTGTCACTATGAGTTCACTGGATAAACCCACGCACTCCACACATCTTCAGTGATGTGCAAACCTCCTGCAGTTCTGCAGAGCTGGGACTCTACCTCAAAATTATGGAACAAAATGTAAAGGCCTGCTCTTAAAAGGCATACATGTTGCTTACCCGTAGATGACTGTGGATGACCAAGACAAGTACTACTACCTACACATTTAACATACCCATAAATAAAGATACACTCGATTATTCAAGCAGTTGAAATCAGCTGTAAAACACAAAGCAGGTGGGTTGGGAATTTTACTGTTTTGCACAATTTAACCTTTTTATTCAACAAGCTTTCTTCTTTTTGCGTTCTGCTGTTGCATCAACTTCACTGCCATTCCAGTTTTGAAACTTGTGACATTTTTCAGATCAGATTCTTGACACTGGTAACATGCATTCACTCTTTTCCTACCTTCACTTTTTCATGTGTATAGATATTACACTGGGTATAGTTTGTCCATGTCCTGTTGCTTTCTGGGTGTCTAAACCAATTTCCACTTGGATCACATATCTTTGTAACTTTTTCTAGAGTCAGTCAAAGTAGATGGAAAAAAAAAAGAAGAAAAAATACAAGTCAGCACTGAAATTCTACTTCCTGCTGCCTAGTATTTAATGAAGAAAGATTGACAAACAAATGACAGCTTTATTAATACGACTAGAGAGACACTGGTTGTTACTATGAGTTCTGAGAAACTAGAGGCCATTGCTTTTGCTTCACAAGGGCAACTGATTATGTGTTTTTCTTAAGAAAACAAATAGATGTTCCTCCACCAATCCAGTAAATATCAAAATATATCAAACTAACCATTAGAAATCTACCAGATGACATGACAAGAATATCTAAATATCTTGTTTAATGTCCAAGGTCTCAGCTGAAGTCTGACTTCCTACCACTGTAAATTAGGATTGGACAGGCATGTAAACATTAATAGAGAAACTGCTCAAGAACCAAATTGGGAGATTTTTGGAACCATATAATGATTTCTATCATCAAATACAAAGAGCCATAAAAGAACCTTGGAGAATACCTAATGCAGCAGAAAGAGACAAGAATAGAAGTCTGTGACATTTTCCATATGCACACAGATGCCAAGTTTAGTCTACAGAAACAGGAAAAGATTCACTTGTGAGAGAAACTCTTGCTGACTTCAACTGCTAAACTGAGGCAAAAGTCATATTTCTGCTTGTCTGTCAGAGAGCAAAGCTTATCTATAAGAGGAAAAAAATCTGTGATCTAACTTCAGTTTCTATTTCCTAATCTATAGAATTCCTCAAGGACATATTTCAGAAAGGAAAATAAGTAACTTGCTAGTTTTCTATGTGATAAAGGGAAAACATAAATAATGGGTTTGGAGATACTAAAATTCTGGAGTATTAGTGACTTAAGTGGGGCAAACAGGAGGCATCAAGCACCCAAAACCTCATTTTATTAAGAAATATGTTTATGTATGTGGACTTACCTGATGGGTTGAAATCCTGAAAGTAGTCAGGACAACGCTGTACTGACACAGTTCCAGCTGCAACATCACTCCAACACAACCAGCCATCCCATGTCCTATTACAGTAAGGACCTGCAAACAAGTAGAGACCTGATAATAAAAGAATCCTTTTTTGTATTTTTTTTTTTTTCTGTGAGGGGTTTTTGGTTTTTTTGGTAGTGGGAGAGGGCTATGGAGATAGCCCTGTAAGAAGCTGCTAGAAGCTCCCCTAGCTCCAAATTTGGCCCCACTTCTGATCCAGGCCAAGCCAATCAGCACCTCTGCAAATGGATGTATTTAAGAGGAGTGCAGCACTTGGCCCGTACTCCCTTGCCCCAGCCCCAACCAGCACAGCCCCGGTGTGGGTGGCGTGGCCCTGGCTCTGGCTCTGGCAAGACCAATCTGTTGCCAGTTTAAGCTCAAACCCCGCTGCAACTGCAGCCCAAGAGAGAGTCTGGAAATCTCTGAGAACCAGAAGAATGGACCAGGTTGGGGACTAACTTGTTGGGGAGCAGCACAGGGGAGAGGGACCTGAGGGTCCTGGTGGACAGCAGGATGACCATGAGCCAGCACTGTGCCCTTGCGGCCAAGAAGGCCAATGGCATCCTGGGGTGTATCAGAAGGGGTGGTTGTAGGGCAGAGAGGTTCTTCTTCCCCTCTGCTCTGCCCTGGTGAGACAGCATCTGGAATATTGAGTCCAGTTCTGGGCCCCTCAGTTCAAGAAGGACAGTGAATTGCTTGAAAGAGTCCAGCACAGAGCCACAAAGATGATGGAGGGAGTGGAGCATCTCCTGATGAGGAGCGGCTGAGGGAGCTGGGTCTCTTTAGTTTGGAAAAGAGGAGACTGAGGGGTGACCTTTAATATGTAAAGGGCGAGTGTCAGGAGGAAGGAGCCAGGCTCTTCTCCATGATGTCCAATGACAGGACAAGGGGTAATGGGTGCATAAGGAAAAATGTTTTCACTGTGAGAATGACAGAGAACTGGAACTAGGTGACTCCAACAGCTCCATGTCCTTCTTGTACTGAGGGCTCAGAGCTGGATGCAGTGCTCCAAGTGGGGTCTCATTAGAGCAGAGCAGAGGGGCAGAATCAGCTCCCTTGATCTGCTGGTCACACTTCTTGTGATGCAGCCCAGGATGTGGTTGGCCTTCTGGGCTGCGAGCATGCATTGTTGACTTATGTTCAGCTTTTCATCCACCAGTATCCCCAAGTCCTTTTAATCTGAATATCTATTTAAATTAACATTTTCTTATCAGAAAGAAAGTTTCGTGTTATATAAGAAGAGGTGCTATGGGCAGGTAATATAACATATTACTTTATCTTCATGTATCCCAAAGTGGTGTTTCTAAAAAATTGTACAAATACTGTTACAATCTGAAAATTTATTGCTACCAAGACAAGAAATGAATACAACTGAAAGATCCTGAATTACTGTCATTATATCTGTTGACCATTTGCCTTTGCAAAACTTTATAAGAAAATAATCTTTACCTTCTTTCCTATGAATAGGATCTTGCATAATTTTCTGGTAGCATTCATACTGTGCTGTCATAATTTTATTCCGTGTAACACTCAGTTGAGTGAAGTCCTCCGTCATATTCTGATGCCCTTCAGATGGTATAGCTGTGGCAAAAAACTAAGAAAAAGACTTATTTTTAGGAATTAATGTACAAACTCCAATACAAACTTTTTAAACTTTAATTCTCTTAAGTATTGCATTTTAAATATTATTTTACTGAAGGAAAAATTATCTTCAGATCTTATTAACAGTATGATTTTGTGCTTTCCTGGTTAATTTAGCAATTCCTCTTACTACTGAATCTTGACAAATATCTCCTGAGTGAGTATGGAGGAGGACCAATCTGCAAGATTTGTAAATAATAATGAAAAAACGCTCAGAAAGCACTGAGACAGTCAGATGCATATAAATAGCTTCTGCAAAATCCAGTAAAATACACAGCAGTTACATTAGTCTAAAGGACATTTGAATCTAGCCCAGCGCTCCTTAATGAAAAGAGATTTTCCATACACTGTATGCACTGAAGTTTTTGACTTGTTTAGAGCTATTTCATTTCTCTGTAGTCTCATGAACCATAGTCAGCCCTCCGAATACAAAAAAGTATTCAAAAAATGTGACATCCACTTTAATAGCTAATAAATGTAAAAAAACCCAACCAAACAAACTTAAGAAAGTGGATCTTGATCAAAACCTGAGCCTTTTCAGTGCATTTATAAAAGAAGTTAATATTCTGTGAAGTTAAATATTTTATGGGAAGCTGCTAAACTTCATGGAAAAACAGAGCTGCAGATTGAAATACTGTACCACTGTCACACAAGGGATGACATTAAAAGTTCTAAGGATGTCCTCAGAATTGGAGTTAGACATCTCCTCGGCTCTTCCTGGAGTCTGCATAGTAATGCTTATATGTCACTTGTCGGCTGTTACTGTGAAGTTCTCTGCTAGCAATGGATGTGCTGGGTTCAGTAGAGGTAAATACTATTTCTGTTCCTTTACCACAGGAAATAAATGGAGAACAGAAGGAGAACAAAGATCCTGCTGTGCAGAAACTAAATTTGAACACAAGATTAGTTGTTTCTGCATTTCCGTACTAATAATTTCTATAGTAATCTGTACACACTCGTTAAAACTGGAAATGATTTTAAAAATTCTAAGACTCACCATAGTAACTGATAAGAAGAACAACAAAACCGTCATCCAGTTTTTCATCATTTTTATATCCAGTGCAGTGAATTTCATATGGTAGTTGGAATGAACTCAAACTGCAATGGAAAAGAAGTAGGAAGAAATTTAGTAATTCATGAAAGGTAAGACTTCATATTTTCTTTCTGAATTAAAACAAATCAACGGAGGTCCTCTCAATTTTTATTCACACATAGTCATGCCACATGATACACATGAAGATGTACAATGTGATATGAAAAAAAACCAAACACTTAATTCACCAGCAGTGAATTCCAGCAGCAGGGTTTTTCCTCCACTGCCTCAACTAACTCCAGAGGATTTGGCTCAGTCAGGTACTTGGGATCAGCTCTAACACAGGTACGTAGCAATTAGTCCTGACATACAAGTTGACTCCTTGACATTTCTGCCTTTGGGCAACCATAGAAAACTCCAGTTCAGGATACTCTAAAGTAGACTTAGACTTTCACAAACACACACACACAATTATTTCCTGTTCTCTTCACACCAGCTGACTTTTGATTTTGACATTTCTGAAAGAGGGCAAGAGAGCAAGTAGCCACTTTATCTTGAAGTTACAACTCTGCAAGGATGACAATGGCAATGCAAGAATTAATTGCGTGCTGTAAACTAGTTTCTGTATCTGCAGTAGCTGTAAACTAGTGACTAAATCCGTAGTTTGAAGAAAACAGAACTACCCGAAACAGCTATAATTGTCTTACAGTGCAGACGATTATTGGAATTGATTCTTGAAGTGTAAAATGCACATAAAGCATACCATATACAAAATTAAGCACATAGGCCATCTATTAAGCATAATGCTGCTGTGACAACTCCCTCAAAATGAAGGGAAATGTGAAGGAGATTTCTCATGCAATATTTCATTATGTCCTGAAGTATCCTCCATGGATATGGAGCATATCCTGGACATGCTGCAGCAACTCGATGTCCTTTTGGTAGTGAAGGGCCCAAAAAATTTATAAATTCTATTAGCCATCTGTTCTGATGAGATGAAAATGAAATATAATTCTCAGAAAGTTCTCTCCCTCTCAGAGCTGGGATGTATGAGATGAACAAGGAAAATAAATTAATAATAAAAGAGATGCATTCTTAGGCTTCTTTAAATAGTAATGCTTCCCAAGTTGTTGTTCTGCTGTTAAACACCTTCAACACTTCAGCTGTGGGGAAGAGAGGATAACTGTATTGGACTGAGATTAATATAGGTGTATTGAATGTTAGCCTGAGGGAAAAGATTGTGGAAGCTTAGACAGAATCCCCTGACTCCACTCTGTGACAGTGGAGATGTGAAAAAAAGCCAGCAGGACCATGATTTACATGACAGCTATTGAATGAAACCGTTAGTCAGTGGACACAAGGACTACAACTACCTGCAGTCCTCTGGCTTAAGTATTTTTCCAGTAAAAGGGAACATAAGTGAGAACAGAACGAGGAATTACAATAGCAAATCAGATCTTCAAAATCTTGGTTTTATTTTTTAACTTTATTTTTTATTTTAGTGCATGCTGTACTGAAGACTGAGATAACTTTTAAAAAATAAAACGGAACTGGCTGTTTTTCCTCTTTATTACATTCTTGCAAATTAATGATACTCCAGGGGCCTATATCATGTTTGTCACTGATAGCAGTGACATCTACTGAAGAAGGAATTAAAAAAGAGCTACAAGCTGAACTTAGCCAAAATAGTCACTGGTATAGCTTTAACAGATGTTCGCATTTCTCTTCCTCCTGCTTTCCCGACAGAGCCATCCTGCCTCATCAGCTGTTTCTACTTTTAACCTTTTCCCATTCTCCCAAGAATAAATGTTACCCTTACTGAGCTCCAGACACTTCCCATTGCAATGATGCAGCAAAAGGGTTAAAAAAAGTAGTCAGCAAGAAAAATCATGTTTAGATCTTCAGTCACAGCAGTACTTACAGCACTGCACGTACAATCACAGGCACACACAAACATTTGCACAAAAAAGACAAAGCAAACAAACAGACCCCCCCCCGAAAAAAACCCCCACCAAACCCCAAAACAGTTTAAGCATAGATGACATGCGTTGCAGTGTGCTATAAACTTGCAACACTAAAGTTGAACATGTGCAAATAAAGATGTATAGCCTTCCTCTCTGACTGAAAATAGGGGTCAGAATGGCTGTTTTCTCAACCACACAGCCCCCTTGCTGTTACTCCAGCACTCCTTAATTTTGTTCTGTTGCAGTATCTCTCAGAAATAGCTATACATGCTAATGAGACAAAAGTAATGAAGCAAATCTAGTGAACTCTGAGTAGCACAGTTTCATGACGCTAGAATTCCCTACTCACTGCCACTCTGAATTAAGACTAGGAATCAGCAGTTACAGACTCCTAAACCAGGTGGGACAGGACAAAAGAGTCTGATCCTCCCTGAGACAATTTTTACATTACAGATGCATAGGCTCTTCACAACTTCCAACAGATTCCTTTGCCCTGTTCTCTTTATTCAGTTAATAACAGGGCTTGATTTTTTTCAAATATATTCTTCACTTGAAGGAACTGGTATATTACCCAAATATGTCGGATCTGTATGTTGCTGTATTTTAAAAGAAACGAGATTTAACTTACTATACTGGTGCTGAACACTGGTACAACTCAATTGCGATGCTATGGAACTGCTATAAGAAGGCATTCCTATCCTCACCGCAGTTATTCTTTCAAACCCCCAGTGTGACCTCCTCTCTTCAAATCAGATGGGGCACACATCAGGAAAAACAGAACAAAGAAAAAAGCTCCTAATAATGTTTTAAACTCTTGAGAAGCACAAGAGATCACGGTGTGTACTGCCTACCAGTCGCAAGCAGCATCATACAGACAGAGCACTGCAAAGAGCTTCTGAGCTCCCTTCTCTTGCAGAATGAAGAGGCTTACAGAGTGTGTGAAGATCTCCACAAGCAAATCAGAATCAGTAATTAAGAAAAGATTTGCAATATTCATATAACTACTGTGAAAAGTACTATAGGAAATAAACCCAAAGTTTATAAACAAGTCAAGTTCCTTTAAACATCTAATTCTCTGGACCCACAGTACTGCTCACACGCCTGGAGGCATTATAAAAAAATGCCACACTGAAACGTTCCTCCTTCTGCCTTTCTTTCCAGGAATTTTTCCTAGGGAGCAGTTGTGACACAATGGCATCTACTCTCTTCTTAAGGATTAAAATAAATAAGAAACAGAGATTCTATTCTATTCATTCTATTCTATTATTCTATTTTATAACAACTTCATCATGCATCAGGCGGTAGTTCAGCTCAGTGTTGGAAAGTACTTGCTGTTTATTTCTTGCCCACACGCTATATGCATGGCTCAAGGTCTCAGGCTTATTGCAAGCAAAACATTAGGTCTAGTATCGAAGGTGTTTCACATCTTTTATTTACTCTATAAGCATGCAGATTATTTTGGTTTTGTTTTTCTAGTTGCTTGCCAGAGGCCTTGCAGAGATTGCAGAACCATCTGTAGATAAGATTACACAGATTAAATTACTCCTGTGTACTTTTTGCAATTAATAGCTTCTGGCTACCATTCAGCTAAGTTTTGTCTCTGGTATCCAACAGAAATTAGTAGCGGTAATTGACAACACTCTTGGCCAGTTCTCCTAATACTGAAAATCATAAGAACCTGTCACAGAGTGATGGTGGTGGTAGTTTTTCCCAGGGAAGAGGGAACCCTCACTTTTTTGTAACACTTTTCTTCTTCAGTTCCGTTCACAGGTTTGGTTGACATTGTAAATTATCCTGAGAAGAAACATGAGCTATGAAGGTCCATTTAAAAGTCAAAGCAAACCAACCAAGCAAAACCCACAAAACCCCCTACCACAACAAAACCCTCCAAATGAAGGTTTGGAGGAAGAAACCTCCACAAGGTTCTTCCCCTGGAATATTCTGCAATTTCTGCTCTTAAGCAATGCTACTCCTCTCCACAGAGCAGACTGGAGTGCTAAGATGTGTTTGTGTCTTTGTCCATCACACCAATTGTGGCTCTTTCAAACAGGATTTCCACTGATAAAAAAAGGTAGAGTACTTCCTCCTTGCACTTCCATAGACAGGTTGCTTGGCCTCTGTGCTTTCAATGCTTTTCCTATAAATTTTGAATGCTCTACCCCTCCCTCTCAAATATGATGAACTCTCTATTGACTTAAAAACATATGAAGCCAGCAGTAGCAAATGCTGTAATTGCATGTGGAAGGGTATATTTACATGTATAGGGTTATTTACAGTTCAGCTGGATATTTAACTGTGTCAAATAAATGCATCATAAGAACATTAAAAATATCAAAGCAAAAGTAAAATTATTTAGGACAAGTAAGAGATGTGATATTCCACACTTCCAAAATAATTTCAGCAGTGTTTTCTTGGTTACAAAGTTTTCTGTCTAAAGTACTGATTATTTTCTCTTCTAAACAGAAACCTCTATCAAAGTCTGACAGTGCAATACAGTATAACTTTCTTTTTTCCTGACCTGAAATAAGAGAGCAAGAGCTGGCAGCCAACATAAAACGATGTTTACTGCAGAAATTAGTTCCCTAGTAACACACTTCTTTACATATCTTATCAAAATAAACCCTCATGATAGTATTTCCCCCATTACTTACATTTTTAAAATGACTATTTTTTACACTGTCTTATATAGTGATACTAAAACCCAAAATGCTTCCCACTTGAGGAACTAGTTGTTAACTAAAGGCAAAAGAGGTTCTGGCAAAGCAAATCTTTACCAACAGACTGGCATGGATTATTCTCAGAGATGCAATTGTGGTTTCCAACATTTTACAGTTATTAATGCCTTCAGATTTTTCAGGGAGTGCTATTTGACTACCATTCTGTAAGCACTTGTTGAGCTTACTTTACAAGCTTAACCCTTCTCACCCCACAGCCCTAACCCAAACTGTACCTTGATGTCTACAATCCATCAGCATAGCTACCTATGTGATCAGGTGTAACTCACCAGGTTCAGTTCAATGCTGCCTAAGCATTTAAATTGTGTAGCATTCATTCAAGCACTCAGAAACTTAGAAGGAAGGCTGCTCTGCTGAACA